TCATTCGACAAAACAAGACGCTTTCCAGGATTCTACGATATTCTTTCCGAATATTATAGGATAGACGAAAAGAGAAAAAACGGTAACGCACAGAGATTCCGGTAGCAGAGTTACGCGTTTTTCATGTTTACTTTATTGAATGCAAAAGTTTATCTGCTTCTTTTACAGGGTTTTATAGTTTTATTAACAAGCACGATTATATTCGTATAGGTAAATGAAGATTTAATTTATAATTTATATTTTTTTCTGAGATAGTCTTGCCGGGCACAAGTAAACGTTCGTTTTCTGAATATTGACATGAAAAACAATTTTATGAGTTGTTGAAAGAATGATTTTTCTTGTTTTGTTGATCGTTTTAATTACATCCTGATCTTTTTGATTATTTAGGACTCCCAAATATTGTTTGTGTGTTTGAGCTACGACACATTTCATATTCAAATTTTGGTGAACTTCTGCGCTTTAATTTAAAAGATTAAAAGAAATTCCCCTTACATAGATATTGTTTTAGGCGGATACGTGATTTTTTTCATCTTCTTTGTTTGTGTAAATAAGTCCATATATTTCTAGGTTGAAGGTACAATTGCTGTCGTCAAGTGCAGAAACTTGATGTCACTTTTAGTTTTGTTTTCTAGAAACGACGATGGATTATCCTATCCTAGAATGGATTTAGAAAAACAAACATTTTTTCCTATTAGTAGACTAATGTAGAGAATTTTTCGATGCGATAGAAGCGTAGTCGGAGAAATACTATAAAATATCTCTTATTCTGGTGTTATCTAAAAAAGCTTTTAATTATCCAAGTAAATGTATTATGAGATACTACGTCGATCTCGAGACGTGTATGAGATACTTCTCGATTCAGAATGTACGTGTTATGAAATAGAATAATGTTGCTATGCATAGAACGTACATACATATGTTAGTATAATTTTTTCTGTATAACAATTCTTTAAATGCATTTAGACAAAGTAATGAGTGATTACAGTTGATTTTAACAGAGAAAAAAAGAGAATAGGAGAAAGCTTGATATGGTAGTTAGCTAAATATGTTCTGTTTGAAAAAGAAAGCAGAGATTCACACTAACATAATTCTAATAGATGTTAATTCTTCTTTATTACTCAAACTATGAGATTTCTGTAAAGTGATTTATTCTAACAAGGAGTTTTGTAGGAGTTGTGTATGTGAACAAAGAAGCATAATAAAACAATACCATAAGTCTTAACACCATCTATTTGTTTTTTTACGTGCAATACACGTGAACTGACTAGTTTACTTCTCATTTTTTGCTAAGATGATCGAGGTTACTATAAAATAGTATTGCTGTGTTTCTTAACCCTGCATCAGGTAACTATTTAGCTTTGATTACTTTGTTTCATTCAAAACTTTATATATTTTTATTTTCAGCGTAACAAAAATATAAATGGCTACCGAGCATGATGATGATATCGATAAAATGTTGGAAGAATATGAAAGTGAACATAGAAATCAATCACCGGCAACTGCTCTTGTACCACCATTAAAAGCAGCACCACTGGATAAAATAAATACTAATAATCGTTCTCCGACACCACAATCAAAAGATCGAAAATATCATTCACCGTCACCCGTTAAAGAATCAAAATATCGTTCATCAGACCATGAAAATGGCAAAGAAAAGGATCGTTCATCAAAAAAACATCGTAAGGAGCGTAAGCATTCACATCGACATAAAGAACGCAAAGAACACAAAGACTCGAAACGTCTTAGTCGAAGCCGAAGTCGAAAACGTAGCAGGAGTAGTCCAAAAGAAAAGAAAATGAAACGTGAACGTGATGATGAAAAAGAATTGTCAATCCATCGCCGTCGTTCTGTTACACCAATAAACGAACGTAAATATCGTTCACCATCACCACCTCGTAAAACAAAAATGGATATACCCAATAGCACTAGACGTTCAAGATCACGTGATCTTAACAATGATTTGAATTTAATCAGCAAATCAAGCGGTAATAATCCAGGACCTCGATCGCGATCGAAAGATAATGATAGTCGTTCACACACATCTCGCACTCGCGATAAGTCACCTGAATTAAGTCCAGAAGAACGTAAGTCAACAAGTGTTCTATTCTTATTTGTCGTTCTAAAGACACCTGCGTATATTTGTAACTGACATTTAGTGCGATTTTTAAAGAGAAGCTGGTAAAAAAAGTAAACATTTAAATATTCACTTTTTGCTGCAATTCTAACAAATTCATTGAAAGCCATTTGCGTCTTATTTTAGGTGATATGCGTACAGTCTTTTGTATGCAACTAGCGGCCAGAATTCGTCCGAGAGATTTGGAGGAATTTTTTTCACAAGTTGGAAAAGCGAGAGACGTACGTTTGATTACAGATCCACGAACAAGACGATCCAAAGGTGTTGCCTATGTTGAATTCCGAGATTTGGATTGTGTTACGCAAGCGATAGCATTATCAGGACAAAAAGTATTAGGTGTACCAATTATAATTAAACCATCGAATGCTGAAAAAAATCGTTTAGCTAATCAAAATGCTAGTGCGAATAATGGTAATAGTCAATTTTCATTTCAACAATCAAGTGTACCACAAACTGGTCCGATGAAGTTGTATGTTGGTTCGTTACATTTCAATATTACCGAAGATATGCTACGGGGAATATTCGAACCATTTGGTCGTATTGAATCAATCAATTTAATGAAAGATACCGAAACATCACGTTCGCGAGGCTACGCATTCATTCAATTTGCTCATGCCGAAGATGCCAAACGTGCAATGGAAAACTTGAATGGTTTTGAATTGGCTGGTCGTCCAATGAAAGTTGGGCACGTTACTGAACGTGTGAACGACGGTGGTTTAGCATCAAATTTGGATTCTGAAGAATTAGATCAACGCGGAATTAATTTAGGTGCAACAGGTCGTTTAGCGTTGATGGCTAAACTGGCCGATGGTAGCGGCTTACAAATGCCTCAGTATGCGTTAAACGCATTAAATATGGCACAACAAGGTCGGTGTTAATATTTCAGTATTTTGTTTAAATTTATTAGTATTTTGTAATTGTAGCCGGGGCTCAAGCAATGACATCAGGTTTAAATTCACCAACTGCTGGCGCTTCAACTCTGACACCTGTGGGTACTCAGTGTTTTATGTTATCCAATATGTTCGATCCGGTTAAAGAAACAAAATTAAACTGGAAAGATGAAATTCGAGATGAAGTTATTGAAGAATGTAATAAGTTTGGCGGCTGTATACATTTGTATGTTGATCAGAAAAATCCTAATGGAAATGTTTATATTAAAACTCCAACTATTGCAAGTGCAATTAATGCAGTGAATTCATTACATGGAAGATTTTTTAGTGGACGAGTTATTAATGCATCCTATATTCCAATTCAAAGTTATCATCAGTTATTTCCAGAAGCAATTAATGCGCAATTATTATTAGTGCCCACATCTTTAAGATAAAACGGCTATCATTCTCGTTCGTGTGTTTCTCTTTTTTTTTACACAGGTCTAAGTCCAAAAGAAAAACGACAAACTCTAGGTACATTCGTTTTTTTAAAATTACATCGAAGCAGCTTAGCGCTGATTGGCTTTAACAAGTAATGAAGTACAAACACAGACAATCGTATTGTATCCATCCTGTTACTAAAGAAATATTATACGCGTAGATATCGCTTGATATACAAAAGGGAGAAATTTTAAACTCTTTATGTTTGCGATTCTTTGTTTCTAGAGAATTCGTCATTCGTATTCATGTTTCTTTTTTTCTACAAAAAAAAAAGTAAAATTGAGTTCTTTTTGCGTGTTATGTATCTTTTCTCTACTACTAATTATGTCCATACTGATAAAATTATCATACTTCAGCTAATTATTTTCCTGATTTTTGTTTGTTTGATTATTTTCTTAAAATCGTGCTTTTAATACGATTTTTTTCCATTTAGAAAAAAGCGTATGAGGTTTTTTGCTTCAATCCGTGTTTGTAAGTCAATTCAACAAATCGTACGTAAATAACTGTATTATGATCTGTTCTATTCTCGATGTGCACAGTTTGTTTCCTTATTTGTGGTTGCGTATGCTATCACGTTTATTTGGACTAAAACGTGTTAGTTTCTAAATAAATTTTGTTTTAATAAAGAAATAAAGAAAATAACTATTTCGTCTCTGATTTGTAAAGTACTGTTGTTGTATAGTATCTAAATGTTAACGTATAATTTAATCAGAATTCTGTTTGAGTATAGAATAATTCTTATAGGTTATTTAAATCAAGGAATTGAAAATTTAAACACTGCCTCAGCGAACACAATCTGCCTTTCAACTTATTTGAATAGATAAAAAAATTTTGCTCAGTTGGGTCATATCTTTTCTGTTTATCTATAATATCTTTCTTTCTCGTTCTCTGTTGTAATCTTGTTTTTCATTTCAGATCACATTTAGCTATGGCTCGATCAAAACAAAAAGCACGAAAATTTGTTGGACAAAAATATCAGAAATCAAAAACTGCCCAAGCCGCAAATGGACGCTCAGCAACTGAAACCGATGCAAATGGCAAACAAGAACAGCAATCTTATTCTTTTGGTAGACAAATTCAACTGGGTATGAAAGGAATTTTTGTATCATTTTCTTGTAAAGAAAATTATGTTCGTAATGAAATTTATAATTTATTGAATGAATTTGCTGAAAAATTATATGGACCAGAATTTTCTGACCCAACTAAAAGTGAAAATGAAAATGATACAAAAGTAGAAGATCTTGATACAGCACTAAATAATGAAGCGAAATTATTACGTGAACAACATTCGAAAAAACGACGTTTTCAAGCAATTAAGTCTGGAGCTAATCATAGTCTATTTATATCAACAACCTTGTCAAAACCAAATGAATTAATTGAAAATATATTTGAACATGTACGCGATTCAAAAAAGGTCTATAGTAAACGAGTTGATCGTTTACTACCAATAATTAATGTAAGTAAAGCGTACGATGATGATATTAAAAAAGTAATATTAGATAAAGACTTTTATGAACAAATAAAAACAATATCATCATCATCGGCGATTGATTCATCTTCGATAATTAAATATGATGTTATTGCAAAAAGATCAAATAATAATCATATGAAACCGTCTAAAATCGAAGAAATGATAATAAAAACATTTAATGAACATTATACCGATAAACTGAAACGAGATTATAAACAACCGGATATCTATATACTACTTCATGTTATTAAAAGTTTTTGTTTTTATTCGATTGTGAAAAATTATAATGATTATAAAAAATATAATTTATCAAAAATGAATTTGTCAGCAACAACATCATCAGATACAATTGAAGAAGATCAGAAGGATAAAGAGGAAGAAATGGATAATGACGATAACGATGATAATACAGAATTACAAAAGCCAGATGATAGACAATCAACGACAAGCAAACGACTTGTTTTTGACGATAGTGACGACGAAAGTGAGGAAAAGGACAGTACAGCACAAGCAATTTCTTAACATCTTACCACTTAATTTGATGTAGAGAACGTTTACAGATCAATTTTATTTTTTCAATTTTCTTTGTGAAAAAGTCATTTGAAAAGATTAATTTGACTGTTTAAACTAATGTATTCATTCTAAAGAGATATTCTAGTGTTTTGTCGTTTTTGTATGATGCACTAATATATAGCTATGATGCGTTAGAATGACATGTATTATTGTTGATTTTATTTTTGTTTTTGTTCACCTGTCTGTTAAACATAAAATGTTGCAAAAATAGCAACAAATAAAATAATCAATGTATTTCTTATATTCAAAACAATTTGCTTTACATTTAAATGTCGAGACTGCTTATGTACAAAGCAGTAACGATGGAGATGTTTTTAGTCAAGGGCAAAGAAAAAAAAATCGACGTTCGGAAAAAAAATAAGAACGCTGTATTTTTTATGGCTTGTCATTTGTTATCAGATGTACATATGTCTTCTATTATATAAACTTACTTTTCATGCTATTAAATTGTAGGCAGAGAAGGGCAAACGTACTCTTTTTTAGCACTAATACTGTTTTTTTCCTCCTGATGCATTTATTTCACTCTATCAAACCGATGGTGGCTAACTGGTGTATGAAAAACGACATTTACAACAGCACTATATCATAGAGATATGATCAGTATAGTTTTGAAGGAGTTCGATAGCATAACATCGTTCGATTAAGTAATATATTTCAAAATTTTAACACCGGTATGGATCATAAAAACTCACCGTTATCAATCTATATTTCTTTGATAGTAGATGCACACAGCATTTTCAATGAGCATAAATGTAGAATGACAGACTGCTTTTTTTTCATTCTTTCTTTTCTTCGAAAAATAGGATTCTCAATGGTTCAAATAGAAACGCAGTGACATTCAAAAAAAAAAAAGAATAGACCAAACATCTGTAGTATAGTGGATTTTCGTTCTTTTCTTTTTATTTATGGCTTAAAAGGAAAAAAAATGTATTCAGAACATCACGCCATTGTAGCATGATTTTTGTTATTCGCTCTCGCGTTATACTTTATATGTAATATTAATAAAACATGACGTGATCAAGTACTACTGCCTTTGATCTGACTCTAAATAGACGAAATAGTACAAGAGCAAACAGCGATAAAACGGTAATTCATCTAGTGTGCACGACTAAAGAGTATTTTGTTCAGATTGTATATCGCGATTATCTCCCTTCGACAGAAATTGATATTTAAAAAGCGAACAAGTTCTAGAATGATTTTTGGATATTAAAGATGGAACATGTGACATTTATACTATATTGTTCATTTAATAAATGACGTATCTAATTCAAATAAATTATATTCAGGTGTAATACACTAAAGTTTTTCATTCTATTATACATAAAACGTGACATGACACGGTTATTTTCGTCAGAGATTATTCATAATAGTATCGTTACTCCTTTGTAAGTATAACGTTTTACAGGATATAAGTAAACCAACTCGTAGAAATCTCATGATACATTAATTGATAATTGGTCTAGTTTATCATAATTCTTGGTCAACTATCAGATCTGTTTCGATAGAGTTGCATGTTTTTCTTTGCTGCTACTTGACCTCACAAATACAACGTGTGCAAACCTGATTTTAAACATAAAATAATGTTAGAAATAAGTTTCAATTCATTCATAAACATTTTGAAAAAACAAGAGTTTTCTTTTCTGAGAAATGATTTACATCTACTTTCTCCTAAATTATTATACTACCATCATTTGGGAGAGAAAGATTCTAGGTATCCTCTTTCTGGTCAAAATATACCTAATTTTAAGTTATTTTTGGTATTGAGTACAAATGTGGCAATCATTTCTGTTGATAGGTCTTTCGTGTACCTTCGTTTCGAAACTGGGTCTATGGTAAACTATCCAAAACTTGTTATAAATGACAAGTTGTGATCCAGCCAAATTCTAGAACACATTGACCTATCTATATCCACAAATTTTTAGGGTTATTAAATACATTTTTCATGATGATATAAAATGTTTACCTTTTATTTTATTGTAAGCCCTCCATTTTCCAGCTCTATGCACAGTAAATTCTTCCTATTTTAGCAAAAGCGTTCTTATTAAATCTGAAATTTTACACATGGGTAACTCAACATGCTGTATAATCTGACCTGATCAGAATTTGCTCATCTAAAAGTGATTGCTTTTGAAACGACGGTATTTAAGAGACCTACCAGATGAAACAAATATAAGACTTGTGATTAGTACCAGAAATAATATCTAATCAAGCATATTTCAGGAAAAAGGCGAGCGAGCACTTGACGTCTTTCCCTCATGAGAAATTCAAGGCAGGAATTTAAACTCTATTTACATATTAACCCAAGTTTTTTTTTGTTAATATAATATGAAAGAGTGACACTTGTCTATCTGTCTATACTTTTGTGCCAGTGTGTCAGTTCTTTTTTCTTAGATGATGTACAGTAAAAATACGGCCGAAATTTCTTTTCGTGCCTTGAAATTATTTACATTTGGATGTTTATTAGCTATCGTTTTAATGTCATTTCAATATGAACATAAAATGAGTTTATTTAATGCTGGTTTAATATTGACACCAGCTATATGGATAATATCATTTTGTGGATTTGGTGCAGGTTAGTAAACGAAATGACTTTATCTTTCGTACAAAATAGATTGAATTTACTATTATTTTAGTGTTTATTGGTTTATTATATCCAACTATATCAAAACAAACAGAACTTATTACTGAATTTGAATATGATACAAAAAAATCACAAGTGTGCAAATCTCTTGTCATTTTCTTTGGAATTAACCAGTTATGTGCTGTATCTTTTTTGTCCTCAGAATTAGTTAAAATCTTGATGAAACAAATATTTCTTAATTTTTCTTAACTTGTATATTTATAGAAAATTCCATTTAGTAGCGATATTCATTTTACAATGACATTAGCATTTTTATGTACAGCATTTTGGTGGTATTTTGATCGAACCATTGTTGGTTTTGTCTTTTCACTTATTCTATCACTTTCATTATCAGCAACAACTGAAATATTGCTGCGAGCTGGCGCATTCAAGTAAGAAAGTTGGCTCCACTCATAAGTTTATTATAACATTTTTCCATTGTTTTATCTGTTCTTAGATATTCAGATTCTGATTTTTATCTCAAAACATGTGTGCCTTGTTTAACATTTGCTGGTGTAATATTAACGATACAATTAACAAAACTGCTATCTCAGGTAGATAAGAAATAACGAGACGAATGCTGTATTACTTAATTTCTTTCCTAACATAACGAGTGGGGCAGAACAAATCGACCTCTCATTATTTTGTGTTTTTCTCCTATTTCTTAAGTTCGATTGTGTTGGTCTTCTTTTCATTAGATTCCGCATTTCATTTTCTACAAAAAATGTATTGAGTGTCTTTTTATAAAATATGAAGGTGAAAAATGGCGAGAGAAATTGTGCGAGGTACCATAATGAAGAAAAAAAATTAACGTATGTTCACATACAGAGATAGTTTTTTTTGAATGTTTTTTCATAAGCATTAGAACACGTTCGGAATATAGTTCTGGGTAACTTCAAGTGTGCTCATTCTCATCGCATACACCAAAATTTGTTTGAATCAACATGTTTGACTTCTTGGGGATTGGCGAAAGCAGCGAAAATTTGAACCTTTTCTGCGTGCTATAACAATATTTAACTATAGGTGAAAGATAGAGCTTTTCAAAGCCTACACGATGGCTATTTCAGCTGTTTTTCGCTCACAAATGTTTATCGAATAAAATCAGAAAAACTTTTTTAACTTATCTTTTTTCCATTTTGGTACTTCGCACAATTTCTCTTGTCATTTTTTACCTTCATGTTTTACAATAAGACACTCAATACATTTTTTTGTACAGAATTGAACAGGGAATCTAATGAAAAGAAGACCAACACAATCGGACTTAAGAACCAGGAGAAAAAACACAAAATATTGAGAGACCAGTTTCTTCTGCCCCACCCGTTACTTCCAACTGTCGAGAAATACGTCCAAAATATTTCCGATTCTAATGTCAATCTATTTTAGCCGTTGCTACCCATTCGACTCACTCATCAAAACGAAATTCATGTGAAACAAGAATAACCAAAACACAGCTAGCTATTTTCGATAAATTTTATTTGATCAATCAAGTGTCTATCATATGTGTCTGTGTGAGATGGCGCATGTTGTTGTCCATTTCAAAATTCTTTTACGAAAGTTTGCAATATTTATCTGTTAAGAAGTATAAGATCTATTTTTCAATTATTCTAGTCGTAAATCTTTAGAAACAGAAAAGACAACGAATTTATTTTTTTTGTTTTTTCTTTCTGTTTTTTTTCGCTCTATAAGCAATTCTACATGGTACTGTTTGTTTTTTGTTTTTTTGATAGATAATGCTCTTGTTTTTTTGGTTATTGAATTATTGTTTTCAGCTGTATATAATTGTTTTAGAAAAAGATAAACAAAAAAGTTTGACGTTAAATATATATATTATTTTATTTGATAATAAATATCTTCATGGTTGTTTTTTAAGCGTTAGGTTAAGACTCATGCATCCACAGCACGCATGAAATATGAGCATTTAATAACACAAGAATAGTTAGTTTTTAAGAGTTAGCAACAGAGCTTTGCTTGTTCGTTTTTGAGGATTCTATTACGTTCTTCATTAGATTTAATTTGTTGGATAAAAAGTTATAAAACATTTCACGCATTTGTGTTTACGATTGGACTGACAACTATTAAAAAACGAATTGTAAAATCAAGTCTCAAACTACCATCGTTCAGACATCGCATTATGGGAAGCAAAAAAGAAATGGAAAGACTATCTCATCTTGCGACTATCGTTACCGATGCAAGGTGCTGCCGACTGACAGTTTCAATAGCCCTATATCTTTCCTGAAGCTGACAAAAATCTGACATGGTCACCCATCTTGTTACTAGTCGTCAAGGACAAGTCTGGACAAAAGATTAGTCTGACACAGAGTTCTTTTGCCCAATTACTTGAGCTTTCCCCATACACACTCTCTAATCACATATTAGCTTTTCTGAAAGCTACACGAACTAGCTATAGGAACTGTATTGTATGTCACCATATAGTGGGTATATTATCGGACGGATGATCCGAGACACTAAGACATGAGCAACCTGTCTAAGACTATTACATGACCCACCGGCCGCAAAAAAATATATTCTGATAGTTTTTGAGTGACGTCTGACAGAAAAGTGGAAGAAACTCACAGTTTTCATCAGTCGAAGTCAAGCTCTAACCGTTTGTTTTCATAATGAAAGCCATTTTGAAAATCTTCTTTCAAAGTAGACTTTCCAGAGGAACTCTGAAAAACTTGAAATATTTCAATGGGATTTTAATTTTTTTCATGTATAACTAGTCTAAAGTGATCACTTCAAAATGGGAGTCAAGGAAATCACTCATCTTCGATCGTTTAGCCTAGAATTGAACTTCTAGGATTTCGAGAACTAATCTTTTCTTACACATGAGAACCTTAGAAATGACTCCCAACAAACGTTATCAATCACGCTGACACTCGCGGCAGTTTCTGTTTAACGATTTGAAAACTTCTCTATACACGTAGGAACAAAACCTATATTAAAAATCGACACACACCACGGTTCGTCTCCTGCAATTGATTCCGATGTAGATTCGGGTACATCTGGTTACCCATCTGATCAAAATATAGATTCTCGAAAACTACGAGAGATTAATAATTAGACAATTGAGTTTTTTTTGAATAGTTTCAGATCGTTGGAAACAGTATCTGTGGGTTTGTACGAAAAAGTTTGTAAAAATATCGTGTATCAGAAGTTATGCGGTACAAATTTTTTATTAATTAATAATTTGATTATTACTACTTTCATTTCGTGTTTACTCTCTCATCAAAACATAACCATCAAGAGGAAATAGACTTAATATTTGTTGAGATACACTAATTTAAGTTAGTGAGTCATTCAAGATTTGATGTTTAAATGTACAGATAGTGGTCAACAGTAATTACTAAAGTCTACAGCATACCTGAAAATGTGAAACAGAGCCTTCTGAAACGGTACAATATAGTAGTCGCTATTATTGAAGGAGTACAAAAGAAACTTATTGTTATTTTTGACTAATCAAATCATATTGATTTAACGTGAATGTACTATAACGATTGTAATAAAAATACTAGTATGAGTAAGAAGGAGAAAGTACGTACCAAACGTAAATAACTATCATTCGTCAGACATAATACCAGCATTTCACTATCTAGCATCAACATTTTTGTTGAAGAAAATATATTTTTTATTTGAGAGAAATGTTGAAGTTATAAGAAATAGCATAGCCAAAGTTTGTTGCTAAATTTTTTTATTAAGGCGTAAAGTGCAAGAGAGAATCTCTTAGGAAAAAATAAGCCTTATTGTTTATTACCGTACGGTTGTTTAGCAAAATGAGTCAAGATTTATTATTCTTTTGACTCACTGGGAACTGCACCAGACCGAACGATGCCACTACCGGTGATATATGTAACAAATACTGAAGTAATAAATCTCCTTTCTTATTCGAATTTTCACAATATGTCTAGTTCCACATGATATTGAACGTTTATGTGCTGGAACATAGACAGGTCGAAAAAAAGTACAATATCAAGGACTCAACAGAACGGTACAATGTATGACACATGAGTTTAATCTAGGTCTAACTCATCGGTAAGATTATGTTTTGGCAGTTGGAAAATATTTTGCTACTGCTAAACGTGCATAGCATTTCTTCTTCTGAAAATGTCACAAGCTTTTTTGAAATTAAAATAGAAGGTTAAAAGAAAAGCAACTAATGAGGGAACTGGGCGGAGGGGAATTTGGGCGGAGGGCCCTTTAAGACCCGGTTTTCTGGAAAACCAGTTTTCAGAAACTCTAAAAAGATAACCAGCACCTTTCTTGATGAGCCAAAATTGTAGCCCGCGAAATTCTGATCAAAATGAGACATCTCCCAGCTCTACATGACCTTTCTTTGCAAAGTTATAGAATTTACAAGAAAAGCCCTAAATTTTGACTGTCAGCTCAAAGCTACAGA